AATGACACCCCGGCTCTGACCCATTGGTTTGAGACCAGCCCCCGTCGCATTGCGGTTTGGGTGGGGAGAGGCGCCGGGGGTCCCAGGCTGTGCCCAGGCCCATCACTGTCAAGCACCTGTCTGCAGGCAGCGGAGAAATGCCAAATCCGCGTTTCCCTGACAACCCACAAACCGTGCCTGGGATAAAGGGCTGGAGCTGCCCTGGGGGGCGGGGGTGGGGGGGGGGTTAACCCACTGTGTGCTGGGCTGTACTGGCAGGGCTGGCAACCATGTGCCAGCTCCCAGCCCCACACTGGAGCAGGGGGCTGGGAGCCAGGACTCCTGGGTTCTGTCCCAGCTCTGGGAGAGAAGTGGGGCCTAGTGGTTAGAGTGGGGTGGGCTGGGAGCCAGGGTCTAGCCCCAGCTCTGGGGGGCGTGTGGCTGGTAGGGGCTGGAGGTTGGCGGGGGGGGGCGGCTGCGGGGGGGGGGGGTGGCGGGGGGGGGGGGGGGCGCTAGTGCAGGCCAATCAGGCCGTTCTCATTCTGGGCACAGCTCCATCGATCCCTTCGCATTTCATTCCCAGACGCTAGATCTGGCCCCGCATGGAAACGGCAAATTTGACATTTTTAAATCCAGATACTTAAAAGAATCAATAGGGACACAGGAAACCCGCCCCCCCTCCCAGCAATCGATCTGCCGGACTGCACAGCCGCAGCCGGCCTGGAAGTGTGTGTGTGTGTGTGTCTGTGTCTGTGTGTGTGAAAATAACCAGCCGGGGGCGAGACCTGAATGGGACCCACTGTAATTGGCTGGGGGGGAAAATGATATTTTGGGAGTGAGGGGCACTGGCGGAGCTGGGGGGCGGGGGGGGGCCGGGGCTGGGCTAGCGGGGGCTGCGGGTCAGGGATGAGGGGCCTAGCGGAGGGGGACGGGACTCCAGGGCTGGGCTAGCAGGGGCTGTGGGTCAGAAGTGAGGGGCAGAATCCAGCCCCCACGTGCCCCCCTCCTGCTCCGTTCACAGGCAGCGGCTCCTCGCTTGAAAACCCCCGGCCCAGCTGGGCTGCGCTCCGCCTGGCTCCATCCTTGGCTGCTCCCCGGGAGCCCCCCGGGGCAGCTGAGCTCGGAGCCAGCCAAGCGTTGGGCCGCGGCGCTGGAAGCTTCTCGGCCGCACTGCCCATGGGACTTGCCGCGCAGACGCTGCTGTCATGGAATAAGACAGGCTGGGGGGAGGCATTGGGAGGCGTCCACAGCCCTGTCAGGCAGACAGGAAACTCCCGCCCCGATGGACAGACGGACAGAGAGACCCAGACACTGGGCCCCCCAGGATCAAAGGAGCCAACCCTCTGACTGGCAATCCCTGCCCCCCCTCAGGAGCCCCCCAAACTGGTAACCCCTGTGCCCCCCGCCCCATGGCTCCCCCCACCGCTCCCCCCCATACACACACCCCACAGCCTCCCTCCGCTCCCAATGGGCAATCCCGAACTCAGAGCTGGGGCAAGACTTTGCAGAACTCAGGGCCCAGCCCCCTGGGGTTGTGGGGGGGACCTCAGGACTCTGACGCCTGGTTCCTGCTCTAACCACTACCCTGCCCTGCCTGAACTGGGAACCGCGCCCGGGAGCCCTGACTCCCAGCCGGGCCTTGGCTCCCCGGCACCCTGCTGCAACCCCGCTGGGCCCTCGCTCTCCCCTAATGGCAGCACATGGGGGTGGAGGGCAAGTCCCGCTAACCCCTGTTCTCTGGGCCCCTGGCCCAGGCTGCTCCGGCTCCCCTTGAATATTCATCTGCCCCCCCCCCCCCCCCCCGGCCCAGCCCTTCCCCCCCCCCCCCCCCCCCCCCCCCCCCTCCATGCACCCCCAGGGCCCCCCACTTCATCCACCCCCTCTCCCCGCTTCATTCCCCCTCCCCCTCCATGGACCCCCCAGGACCCCTGCTCCATCCCCCCTCCCCCTCCATGGACCCCCAGGGCCCCCTGCTCCATCCCCCCCCGCTTCATCCACCCCTCCCCCTCCATGCACCCCCAGGGCCCCCCACTTTATCCACCCCTCCCCCTGCTCCATCCACCCCACCCCCTCCATTCATACCCCTCCACCCCACCATAGCTCTTTAGCCCCCTGCTCACCCCAGGTTGAGCTGGGGTGAGAGAGAGAACCCCCCCCACCCGTTTCTTTCCTTCCTCTGCCGAGCTGGGCTCCGGCTAGTTCCCTGCCAGTGGGGTGGGTGGGGCCTGGTTTGAGGGGGACATTGTGGGAGCACCTGAGAGGCTGGGGTGGGAGGTGGGGGGCGAGGAGGGGTGTCAGGGACTAGCCCTGTTGTACAGCTGGAGGCACGGAGATGGACCCTGTGCACCCCAAGGTCACACAGCCAGTTGGCTGGCAGAGGTGGGCCTGCTACACCTGGGCACCCCAGGGACCTGCTCCCCTGATTCCACTGTAACAACTAGACCCCCCCCCAAGCTGGGACTAATGCGCCCCCTTGAGCCAGCCAGCCCTGCCACCCCGCCCCACCCTCAGGCCTTTGGGTTCCAGGCCCCCGAGCCCCTGAGCCAGCCGGCCCCGACCCCAGCGTCTGACCCCCGCCCCGGGCTCCGGAACCGCCGCTAAGTCCCCCTGGGAGACTGGGGGGAGGAGGGGGGAGAATGAAATCAGAGAATTCACATGGAGAGCCCCCGCCCGCCGTGGGCGAAGGACGGATCCCATTTGCATGGGGGCGAGCGGCAGGCGGCTAAGTCAACAGCGCAGGCCGAGGCGGGAGATTGGGCTGATTAATAATGAATTAGAGCAAATTGGCGGCCTGCTCCCTGCTAATCCATGTAAATAAAGGAGCGTCTGCCACTGGCCTCTGCAAACAGGAGTCTGGGGGCGAGCGCGGGACGGGGGGCGGGGAGACATTGCTAGGAGCCGAGAGACCCTATGAAATCCGCCGGACGTGGCCACTGGCCACAATGACCAGGAGGAAAAATGGGGGGGGGGGCCTGGAGGGATTAATCAATTGCGGGGGCCAGAGGGGGCTGATGGATTGATTGGCGGGGGACGCCCCCCAGGGCCTGATTCCCAGCCCAGCCACATGTGAGGTTCAGTGGGAGCTGACTGCGCCCCGCCTCGAGGTGGGACTGCCCCCCCCCCTGCAATCTAGGGTGCTCAGTGCTCTGCAGGAGGGTTTATTGAGCGTTGACCCCAGCACAGGAAACTCTCAGGGCCTCAGGCCTGGCCTCCCTCAGCCCAGCACATCCCAGTCTCTCTGCATCCAGGTGGGCTCTGCCTGCTCCCCGTCTCCAGTCCAGAGCCCCCCTGCTCCCAGCTGGGCATCTGATACCCCCGGCCCCAGGCCCCGCCTCTGTCCATTGTCTTCTCTCCAGGGAAACAGGGCCATAAACCGGGGCCTCCTCTCCTCGCTTCTGTCCTCTGGCTGGAACCGGCTGGTCAGGTCACTGGGTCCTCACTCTGCAGCCCATTGTCCTCCCACTGGCCAGAACCAGCTGCAACTCCTGAGCTGGGTCTCCGGGTCGGGGTCTCAGGTCACCGGTCGCTGGGGTCTCCATCCTCCAGGCCATCGGCTGGGGTCCCAAGTTCCCTCTCCGGTCCTGTGTACCAACAAACTCCCTCTCCCCTCCCCTCGTTAAACCAGTAACACCCAGGGAAACTGAGTCCCAACCCTTCCGCATGCAACCATTGGAAAAACAAACTCATCCAGCCCACTCCAGCCCCCCCACGCAGTCAGGGCCCTCTCTCAAACTCCGCCTGCCCGTCACACTGGCTAGGAACTTCATCCCTCTGCCTCCGGCCGCTGCACAGGCAGCTCGGCCTAGTGGTTGGGGCCCAGCACGGGGACTCAGGACATCTGGCTCTGCCCCTGACCTTGACCCTGGGCGAGTCACTTCCCCGAGCGTGGCCCCTCTAGGCACCCCAGTAACAATACAGCAGCCTAGTTGCACCCAGAAGTGGCTGCATTTCAGTGGCAGGGGGCAGCCACGCATGGCAGGACACTGCGGGTGGCCGGTGCTATAGGAACGTCTGGATCGGCTGCTGGTTAGCGCCAGCCGGGGGCTGTGTGGCAGCTCCGGGACGGAAGAGTCTGTGCTGGGAATGACCCCTGGATGGAAACAGACGTGGGTTCCCCATTCGCCGCCTCCGACCTGGGGCTGCTGGTCCAGAGGTTACCCTGCCCCCATTGTTCCTGCTTGGCTCTCTCCTGCTGGGGGCTTTGTGCAGGGCCCGGGTGTCACGGAGTGTGGGGGAGTCCGGGCCCTGCACCCCCACTTCCTGCGATTCACCGGGACTCTCAGCCAGACAGTAAAACGGAGGGTTTATTAGACGACAGGAACACGGTCCCAAACGGAGCTTGTAGGTACAACCAGGACCCCCCAGTCAGGTCCCTTGGGGGCGGGGGCAGGGAGCTTAGACCCCAGCCTTGGGGTTCCCTCCGTTCCCCCAGACCGCTCCAAACTGAACCCCCCCCCCCCCAGCCGTCTCACACAGCCTTCCCCGGCTCCTCCTCCAGCCTTTGTCCAGTTTCCAGGCAGAGGTGTCACCTGGCCTCACCCCCCTCCTGGCTCAGGTATCTCCCTCAAGTGAAGTCCCCCCCCGTGCTCTCCCATCCCCCATGCAGACAGTCCCAGTAAAACTCCCCTGCGACATCCCCAGGTCAATCCGCCCCGCTCCCTTCTCTGTCACACCTGGGGTGCGCAGGGCCCTGGTCAGGAGGGGAGCAGATGGGGTGGGGGGGGCCGGGCCCGGCTTCACACTCGAAGGCAAAGAGCTCCATCTGCTGCTTCCCAGCTGCAGCAGAGGCTGGGCATTCCCACGGCCCCGCGGGGCGGATGGCTCCCGGAGCCGGGGGACAGCGTGGGGGAGCCCAGTGGTTAGAGGTCGGGGCACGACTCCTGCCTCGCCTGGCCCGCACGGCAGGTGCAGGGGCGCCCGAGCACACGGCCCCACGAGACCAGGGCAGGGCTCAGGTGTGGAAAATCCAGGTGATGGGAGGAAACGACCCTCACGGGCTTAGAGCCAGGTCGGAGCCGGGGTCGGCAGCGATCCCGGGCCCCGAGCGGGGGCGGGAGGGACATGCTGGCCCCACAGCTCAGGCCCTGGGGCAGGGCTGCAGCGCCTAGCGGAGGAGTGAGGGTCAGGAGTCTCTGTCTTTCCACCAGACATTTCCAGGGGCCTCACTGACGCCCTCTCCACTCCCCCCCAGGCCCCCAGGGCAGCAGAGGCTGCTGGGAAGGCCGGTGCCCTTTGACCAGTGGGTGCAGCCAGAATCCAGCTCTCGCCGAGCCCCACTGAGTCAGCGCCCGGACTCATGGCACATGGGCAAAGTCTAACCTGGGGAGCGTGGGGAGCAGGGGACCAAAGTCCTGGTGGCCCAGCCCCCTCCCTGCTCTGCAGCCTGCAGCTGGGGGCCCATGCCTGGGTGGTCGTGCAGCGAGGTACGTGAGCCAAGCCGCAGGGCGGCTCTGGGATTGGGCCGGGGGTTGTTGGGCGGGGGTGCAGTCTGCTCACTGTCCCTGTTGTCCTGGCCTTAGCAGGCTCCGGGTGCCCCCGTCCCAGCTCACGCTGGCTCCAGAGCAGTGGGGGACGTCTAGGTGTCTCCACGCCCCTGCCGGCTCCAATCCCGCGTGGGACGAGGGCTCCCAGGGGGCCCGTGGCGTGGAGAGGGACCTGGTCTGGTGCCTGCGAACGCCGGGGCACTGAGCACACCTGGATGGGGGGCAGGGGGCATCTCTAGTTACTGTGCAGGGGGGAGGGGGCAGCCCGGGCCAGGGGTCCGGCTAGGGAGGGAGTCAAGGGCACAGAGCCACGGGGCCGTTCTGCCTGTCTCCCCTCCCGGCACAGGCATAGGGGGCAGCGGTGTGACATAGGAGGAGGGATTTTTGCCCCCACCCCCCGTGCTCTGCAATGATTTGTTCCACCCCCCTCCTTTAGGGTGACAGGACACCTGCAGTACTGCCAGCAGCCAGCGGGGGGCATCGCAGCGGGATGATGTCGCACCCCCCCAGCCCGGCACTGGAGCCCATGTGAGCCACCCCCCAACACACACGATGGCTAAGCGGCTCCTGGTGACCTACGCCCTGTGGGCGCTGGGGGGCCCCGTCGGGCTGCACCATGTCTACCTGGGCCGGGATAGCCACGCCCTGCTGTGGATGCTCACCCTGGGGGGCTTCGGGGTGGGCTGGCTCTGGGAGTTCTGGCAGCTCCCCGGCTGGGTGGCACGAGCCAATGACACCCAGGAGCCGCGGCCCCGCAGCCCGGAGCCCCCGGCCCTCAGCCCCGTGCGCTTCTTCGGCCAGGTCCTGGTGGGGATCTACTTCGGGCTGGTGGCGCTGATCGGCCTCTCCTCCCTGGCTGGCTTCTACCTGCTGGCCCTGCCGCTGGCCGTGGGCCTGGGGGTGCATGTGGTGTCCAGCGTGGGCGACCAGACCTCGGATCTCAGGAGCACCCTGGTGGCGGCCTTCCTCACCTCCCCCGTCTTCTACGGCCGCGCCCTGGCCATCCTGCCCGTCAGCCTGACGGCCAGCGTGACCGCCCAGCAGTGCCGGCGCTACAAACCCTGCCGGGGCACCCGCGCGACGCTGCGCGCCCGGCTGTACCACCTGGGCCTGGCCTACCTGGCCTTCACCACCCCGCTGGCCTACTGCGCCTTCTGCAACACAGCCGCCACCGCCCGCTATGTGGCCGACGCCATTGGCGCTGTCTTGGGTTGGCTCAGTTTCTTCCCGACCCTGGGCAGCTTCCTGGAGCAGCTCCTCCTCCTGCCCTACCGCGCCTGGAGGCTGCTGACGGAGGGTGCAGGCTTCGCGGCCGGCTCCTTCCAGGAGTGGGAGAAGGTCTATGAGTTTGTGCAGAGCTTCCAGAGTGAGCGGCAGCAGCTGGCGTACAAGGTGGGGAGCTGCTGGCTCCTGGGGGGAGCAGGGAGGGTGTCCGCGGGGCCGTCAGGTCACAGCACGAGGGTGCGGACTAGCGTTAACATGGACAAAGGAGAAGTGTAAGAGAGGGGGGTGGGGGCTAGTGATTAGAGCCAGGACTCCTGGGTTCTATTCCTCGCTCTGGGCTGGGGGTTAATGGTTAGAGCAGCAGGGAAAGCGGGGGCCAGGGCTCTTGGGATCCATCCCCAGCTCTGTTTGGGAGGGAAACCAGCGGGACCTGAGGGGGCAGCGGCTTCCAGTCTCGTTTGCATGGAGCTGGTGGGGGTGGGAGTTGTTCAACGCCCACGTTCCAGGGGGAGCAAACGCATGTGAACGGAAGCACGTGGCTTCCCAAAGCTTCGGGGCCACATTGAGCACTAGCGCCCCCTAGGGGCTGCGCTGCTCCCAGCGGGCTCGCGTGATCGCCTCCTGCAGGGGAACTCCTGCACTGTCCAGCTCTGTGCCTGCACTGCCCATCCTTTGCCAAGGCCCAATCTCCAGGCAGGATGCAGTTCCTGGGTCTCCAGTCTGGATCCAGCTCCCCTCCCAATCCCCTAGGGGGAAGGCCCCACTGCATCCCTCCCCCGCTGCCAGTCCTGTGGGGTCATTTCTCTTTGCAACCCCTCAGGTCTTGGGCCTCCGGGATGGTGCCCCCGTGGAGGAGATTCACAAGAGTTACCGGGAGCTGGTGAAACTTTGGCACCCGGATCACAACCGCCACCGGGCGGAGGAGGCCGAGAGACGGTTCATCGAGGTGCAGGCCGCCTACGAGAGCCTCATGCAGCCGAGGAAAGCCAAGCCCGCGTGACGGGCAGCAGCCTTTGTGGGGGAGGCCAAGCTGCTGCGCCCCTCCCACGGCTTTGCAGTTGGAGAATGTGCCTGCTTTCTCCACCCAGCCCCCCAGCACTTCTTGGGGACGGCATGAGAACCAGGAAGTGAAACTGACCAGACTAGGTTTGCTCTCACAAGCAGAGTGAAATGCAAAACAGCGACCCAGGTGCGAAGGAAAACGGCCCGGCTGAGCGGCAGTAACCTCAGCTGTTCCTCTCAATCCTGACGTTGCGGCCGAGACAGACAGGGCACCAGGCTGGCACATTGCACTGGGCAGCAAGAGAGACGCTTTCCCCCTCCCGCTTCCTGAGGGGGCAGGTGGCTCGCTGGATGGCAACTCGTGGCCTACGCGAAGGGGACTGGCCATCAGCCCTCCTGGGGGCTGTTCTTAGCTCTGCTGCTGAGTCATCGCGTGACGTGGTGCCAGCCATGTCTCCTGTCCGTGTAAAAGGGGCCAGTGCCTGGTCCCCAGGTGGGGTTTGAGGTGACTGGTTTCAAAGTGCTTTGAGATCCAGGGATGGAAGGTGGCCGAGATGGGCCGGGGCTCCTCAGAAACCAGGGACGGGGGACAAATGATCAGAAGAGCCTCAATGAAATGGCCAAAAGTGCTCCGGACCCCGTCGCTCCCATTGAGAACAGTGGAGTGTGGATCGGGCCCAGGGCGTGTCATAAAGCAGGGTTCTTCTGTTGTAATTTTTGAGGGCTGTCGCTTAGTCTAGTGGCTGGAGCAGTGGCATGGGAGCCAGGAACATGGTTCTAGTCCTGGCTCTGCCACTGACCTTCTTGGGCAAGTCACTTGATCCCTGTTTCCCTTCCCACTCTGTGTCTGTCCTGTCTGTTTAGACTGCCCGCTCTTCAGGGCAGGGACCGGTAATGCTGCATGTCGCTGCCGACACCCCTCCCTGCTGAGCTGCAGCATTCTCAGGGCCAGCCCCATGGCTCGCATGTAGGGGCTGGAGTTGCATCAGCAATGTTTTATAGCTGACCGGGCAAACATACACCTGCTTTTGATTTACCAGCCGCTCCTGGGCCCTTCTGAACTGTTCCAACGGGCCAGAGTCCATGTGCAGCCGGGGCCAACGAGCGGCTGCCACGCACGGCTTGGGTCAAAGACCGACAACATCACGTCGCTGCGGACTGCCCTCGGACCAAACTTGGCGGTGGCGTGGGGGCTCTGCACTTTGCTGCCACAAGCTCTGCAGCCGATAAGAAGGGCGAGGACGGTCTTTTACCCTGTGTTTGGACAGCACCGAGCTCTGCTCTGGGCCTGCCGGCCGCTTGTCCTACGAATAAACAGCACCAATGAAGCACTTTGGGTTGGATGTGGGAACGGTGCATTGATATTTGACGTCGTTGTGATGCCCTGGGTGCCCAGTAGGTGTCGGCATCAGGCTGCAGGTGGAAAGAGGAGAACCCGAAATAACGGAAATAAAGCCCTAAACTTGGCTGAGGC